AGAGGGTCTCAAAGAGGTGAGTGACAGTGAACGCCAAGAGGAAGGAGAAACTCAAACAAGGACTGGAAAGGTGTGGCTTTGATTCAGTGACGCGGAAGTCATCAGTGACTTGGGAGCAGTTTCGAGGAAAGAGAGGGAAGACAGTCTAGAGTTGCCAGAGATACAGGCACACCTTTCAAGAGGTTTGTTGTGGGACCTAAGATTGTCTGGTATCAGTGAGCGGGGAAGAGCAGGGTGAGAAATTTATAGAAAGGAGATTTGAAATCATCATCAGAAGATACAAATTAACGAAATAAAGTAGGATCACTGGGCAGTGCAGCATGTGAATCGCAGGGAGAGAGTGAGGGGGAAGGATCAGCAGTCTCACATGAAACTGGAGTTCTGCCAAATCAGACACTGAGAAGACAGAAGGAAAAGGGGATCAGGATTAAGTGAGCATTAGTAACCTGTCAGCTCTTGGAATTGTGGAGGAAAACACTTCCTCTACCCTCTTAGGTTCTGTGTTTGGGAATCTGCCAATTGTTAAAAGCAGATAACCATGAGAAAAAATACTTAATAGCTTTCTAGCAGTCATGTACACATGTGACATTTGGATCATAAAGCTGAGCACCGAAGAATTCATGCTTTCAAACTGTGGTGCTGGAGAAGACTCTTGAGAGTCCCTTGGACAGCAAAGAAAACAAAACAGTCAATTTTTTTTTTCATTTATTTTTATTAACTGGAGGCTAATTACTTCACAACATTGCAGTGAGTTTTGTCATACATTGACATGAATCAGCCATGGAGTTACATGTATTCCCCATCCTGATCCCCCCTCCTGCCTCCCTCTCCACCGGATTCCTCTGGGTCTTCCCAGTGCACCAGGCCTGAGCACTTGTCTCATGCATCCCACCTGGGCTGGTGATCTGTTTCACCCTAGATAATATACATGTTTCGATGCTGTTCTCTTGAAACATCCCGCCCTCGCCTTCTCCCACAGAGTACAAAAGTCTGTTCAGTACATGTGTCTCCTTTTCTGTTTTGCATATAGGGTTATCATTACCATCTTTCTAAATTCCATATATATGTGTTAGTATGCTGTAATGTTCTTTATCTTTCTGGCTTACTTCACTCTGTATAATGGGCTCCAGTTTCATCCATCTCATTAGAACTGATTCAAATGAATTCTTTTTAACGGCTGAGTAATATTCCATGGTGTATATGTACCACAGCTTCCTTATCCATTCGTCTGCTGATGGGCATCTAGGTTGCTTCCATGTCCTGGCTATTATAAACAGTGCTGCGATGAACATTGGGGTGCACGTGTCTCTTTCAGATCTGGTTTCCTCAGTGTGTATGCCCAGAAGTGGTATTGCTGGGTCATATGGCAGTTCTATTTCCAGTTTTTAAGAAATCTCCACACTGTTCTCCATAGTGGCTATACTAGCTTGCATTCCCCCCAACAGTGTAAAAGGGTTCCCTTTTCTCCACACCCTCTCCAGCATTTATTGCTTGTCGACTTTTGGATAGCAGCCATCCTGACTGGTGTGTAATGGTACCTCATTGTGGTTTTGATTTGCATTTTTCTGATAATGAGTGATGTTGAGCATCTTCTCATGTGTTTGTTAGCCCTCTGTATGTCTTCTTTGGAGAAATGTCTGTTTAGTTCTTTGGCCCATTTTTTGATTGGGTCATTTATTTTTCTGGAATTGAGCTTCAGGAGCTGCTTGTATATTTTTGAGATTAATCCCTTGTCTGTTTCTTCATTTGCTATTATTTTCTCCCAATCTGAGGGCTGTCTTTTCACCTTACTTATAGTTTCCTTTCTTGTGCAAAAGCTTTTAAGTTTCATTAGGTCCCATTTGTTTATCAAAACAGTCAATCTTAAAAGAAACCAACCCTGAATATTTTCATTGGAAGGACTGATGCTGAAGCTCCAATAGCTTGGCCACCTCATGTAAAGAGCTGACTTATTGGAAAAGACTCCAATGCTGGGAAAGATTGAGGGCCGGAGGAAAAGTGGGCAACAAAGAATGAGACAGTCGGATGGCATCTTCGACTCAATGGACATGAATATGAGCAAACTCTGGGAGATGGTGACAGACAGGGAATCCTGGCATGTTGCAGTCCATGGGGTCACAAAGAGTTGGACATAACTGATCAAGTGGACAATAACAACAACATGCAAAGCTTCACACAGAAATGTGACTTGAAGGGGAGGCTACAACTGGGAGTTGGTATACTACTTAATAAATGACAGGGAGTAGGAGATAAAGGCATCTTCTGAGAAACAGGTGACTTGGGGGAGGAGGGGCACTTATGGGAGAACAAATAACATTTTGGAAAGATAAATGGTACTTTAGGAGGATATATGGGAGATAGGGGAGTTCTGTGAAACTGTCTGTTTGTCTGGTGCTTGGAACTTTTCTCTAATTTTAAGACTTTTTCCAAAAATCAAACAACAATAGATAGGTTGATAGGTAAAGCAAAGGTGAAAAGTCTTAGGCAAATCTTATTTATCTATGAGGAACTTTTCCCTAAGTTTAAGTCTCATTCCAAAAGTAAATCAAAAGTCAATTAAAACTGACCCAAATGCATTTCTTTTTAGAGCTGAATAACACACAACTTCTTTATCCATTCATCTCTTGGACATTTAGGTTGCTTCCATGTCCTAGCTATTGCAAATGCTAGGAAATACACAGAACGAAAAGAATGAAAGAAATCCATAGAAAATTTCAGATTTTTTTTAAAGCTATGGACATAATTGTAATGAGCACTGGGGTACACGTGTTTCTTTGGAATTTGCTGTATTTGCACCAGAGAACCCAAAGCTGGTGGTTTGTGACAAACTAGAGGGCTGGAATCGGGAGGGAGGTGGGAGGGTGGCTCACGAAGGAGGGTTCATATGTATATCTATGGCTGATTCAGGTTGATGAGTGGCAGAAACCATCACAATATTGTAAAGTAATTATCCTCTGATTAAAAATAAAAATTAGGAAAAGTTAATCCATTTAAAAGGCAAAAAACCCAGGCAAATCTTATTTCCCCATGAGGAAAGATCTATGAATCAGTGTTTAAAGTTACATATAGCAAGTTTTATGCCACTATTAACAGTTACAATACCTCAAAACATTGCCAGTACCCATAACAGCAGTAGCTAAATCTTTAGGTCTCTCTCTATATATCTACATATAGATATATATATAGTGATAAAAACTGGGAAATACAAAAAAGCTGTCAGTCAGCACCACTAAACAGTAAGGACAAGTCTGGCTGTTTGAGTGCTGCTTAAACAGCTGGCATCAGGGCTCAGTGTGAGCTTGTAAAGGGCGTCTTGGGTGGCTCTTATGGTAAACAGTCCCACTGCAATGCAGGTGACTCCGGTTGATCCCAGGGTCTGGAAGATCCCCGGGGGAAGGGAATGGCTCCCCAATCCATTATTCTTGGCTGGAGAATTCCAGGGACATAGGAGCCTGGTGGGCTACAGTCCGTGGGCTCGCAAAGAGTCGGACACGACTGACTGACTAACACTTTCACTTTGAACATGGAAAACTCAACAGTGCTGATGTTTCTGCTTAAAATTAAGTCAGATGCAGAGAAACATGGCTTAAAATGCCATATAAATTTTCATGATACACACACAATACAGAAATATTTTCCTTTAATAAAGATTTTCTCATCATTTTTAATGGGAAACAACTAAAATCTCATGGAAACAGTCCAGTAGGGAAATTTTTACTATTGAGTTTTCAAATCATATATTTATTTCCTTCAAAATCTGTATATATTATTTTGATGTCTCGCAGGTAGGTCCTGATATAGATTTGATCTGCCTGTAGATAATACGGAGGACACTCGAGAGAATTCAGATACAAATTCAGCAGCACCTGGAAAGAGACAGAATTATATTCTTTATCTAAAATACTTGAGCTCGCAAAGTATTAGCCAAAACAAACAGACAAAAAAACCCTGAGACCTAGTGTTCTGAAGCATGAAACATATCTGTATATGACATGACACAGAACACAAGGTAACTGCATTCTCTGCCCATGGTCGCTCCTGTGGCTGAGGATCAGAGCCTCTGGCTTCCTCAGGCTTCATTCATTTACTCAGGAACTATGCGCAGAGGTGCTGGGACAAGCACTGGAAGTTCAAGATGGAGGTGCCCCACTGCGCCCGGAAAACGACACGCTCTAAAGTGGGAAACAGGTGAACGGGCAGCTTCCACACAGACTCATAAACTCTAAGACAGATACAAAAGACGGCACAGGGACACTCAGAAGGGACAGCCAGCTTCGTGTCAGTACTGCCAGCTTTCTGGTGGAGGTGCTATGGAAGCAGATACCTGGAGGACAGGAAAAAGTACAGGAGACGGAGGGGAGGAGCACGTACAAAGCCCGCAGGTGAGGACGCGCAGCTGTGGGATCCTACAGTCTGGCTGGTTAGATGCAGAGCTGAGGGCAGAGGAGGGTGGTAAGGAGATAAGGCCGTCTACTTTAGCAGGACCCAAACTGATGTGGGTGTTTGGAGCTTTTCCTGAGGGTGAGAGATAAACTGGTGACAAAGTCAGTGACAGAGAAATTTTAGTCACCCACCGAGTGACAGCTGCACACCCGTGACTGTTGAGTCTGGGTTTCCAGCCTTAACCGCCACCAGCGCCTGAGAAGCAGGTGAACACCACGTTTCCTGAGAATAGTGTCAGGTGCAGGCAGACAGTTCCACAGGGATGGAGGCAGTAGAAGAAGGAAACAGCCAGAAGTAAAAGAAATACACAGACCTTTAGAGATTCTTTTTCAAGCTATGGAACATGATGAATCAATGAGGAAGAAGGGTATTTTTCACTATGACCGCTCATGCGTTCACATTTCTCATTAGCTATGTGTAAGAAAAAATATTTAACATGGTGTCTGCTATCCAAACAATGGAAAGAGATCCCATTTACTGCCTTCGGTGTATTTCAGAAATCAATGTCCAAATTTAATTCGTACGTTCTGGCAACATACCTTTCCTTAGTTCTTTAGTTATACTCCTGTCCAACTCTCGCCACATCTGAAATAAGTCAAATATTATTTATGTTTAAGATAAACAAGAGATACTATCATAGGAATGACATCAAACTTACTAAATGTGACTTTTAAATAATACTTTTAGGCACTAGACCTAACCTCAAGATTACTTCAGTAGAAAAAAAAAATTACATAAATATAAGAAAATGAATTCCTACTTATTTTCCTTATAGATAACAGAGCATATTTATGGAATGTTATTTAGATTAACTGATAAAAAGTACAATAAATATCAGTCTGTCGAGTACACATAATTTGAAAGAATTAGGGGATGACCCATACTCCTAGGAATGACCCACAAGATTCCTCTCTTCTCCCCTAACAGCTCCTGCCCTAAATATGTCCTGAGACCTTTATTTTGATTTCTAGGTGAGGATCGCGTTCAAGTGGAGGAAGAAGTCTGAAGTCGAATATTAAGAACGAGAGCACATCTGTGGTTTTCTTTAAAGTTGTCCATTTAACGAAAAGACAGAAAGTTGAGAAAATTTACACACAAGAAACAGTGTACCAGCAAGTTTCAGTTCTGACAACATTTAGCAAGAGGGATTCTCTCGTCAGTGTTAGTTTCGGAACTGTGTCCCATAGTCGGGGAAGGTCCCACAGGGGTCACTGCAGGGTTGGGGAACAGAGAAGCCACAGCTGCAGGGCCTCTGGCCGCTCTTCAGCTACAAGGCTCTGTGCTCGTCTCCGTTTTAGGTAACACGGTTCCCTGCAGGAGTTTTTTTTTTTAAAAGAAAGGTTCTTTTCCTTGGGAAAAAAACAAACTTTTTTAAAGGTATGGGAGTCATTGATTTAGTCAAAGTTCCTAATTCTACAAAAGAAGTAACAAAGGCCATGTCCTTCTTACTGAGTCCAGAGTCCTAGGCCAGCTATGTTCTTAGATTAGGAAAAAACACATAGATTTTTAAATATAACATAGACAAAATGAACATGTAAAACCTTGTTACACAGTTGAATAATGCTTGTGGTGTGACATGACTTTCCAAGTAAATTATGTGTTTTAAATGCATGAACAAGAATAAATCAATATCAAATCCTATTTGTGGCAGTTGATACAGTTAATTTAGAAAGCATACATAGTTTTTAAACAGAGGTCAGGGAACTTGAAGGAGAGAATATTTGGCTGAATCAAGCAGGCCAAATGTGAAGAGATTCAACCTTAAGAGGATGTTCACTTCCTCTAGATAGAACCTGGCTTGCTAAAATGACTCAGCAATGAATTATCCACATTTTGGGTTCCTGAGGGCAACATTTAAAACACACAACAGATCTCTCTTTACTGTTTAGCACACTTCTATCCAGGCTCTCATCATTAGTTGGTATATACAAAAAGCATGAGTGTAAACTCAACTATAATCTAAATCCGGTCAGAAGTTGCAGTTGAAATTCATTTCCTCAGCCTGAAGTTTCAAGGGGAGCACATATACCCCTACCCTCCTCATGAGAAGCAAGGAGATTTACCTAATGGGTGAGTTTGGGAGAAGGAACTAAGAAGTTCTTGCTTGGTTCCCAATCTCTTCTTTGAAAAGATGTATGTGTGCACAGCACCGTGAACTTGGGTCTGTGGTAGGCAGCCCACCCCTGGGATGGGGGTTAAGCCTTGGCTTTCTCCCCTTAGGCCTGTGTCTGTGTGGGCAGGTCTCTGACTTGGGATGAAGTGTTTGGAGGCCCGCTGTGACTGCGCAGCTAAAGCACGTCCTCCAGGTTCATGGCTCTCAAGTACTATGACCCAACGTAGCTCCAGTGCTGTCGAAGAAACTTTAGATTGCTCTTCTGTGATGGCAAGAAGCCAAATGGGAAAACAGGTTGAGACTGCATGTAACAAGGGCTGCTTTTCTCTGCATCACCAACATCATGGAAACACCATCGAAACCATAAACCCGTGTGCACTGACTGAAATGGACATTTTCATCACAATGATTTCACAATGAAAACTAGCTGCAATGTAAAGACTCCCCTTCATTGCTATCTCAGTCATCATTCATCCAGGTGAAGTCAAGACAGAGACAAAAGTGAGCTTCATTTACAACTTTTCAATATTTGATTTAACTACAAACGTAGAAACATTCCACAACTGCTCAGCAAGATATGTTTTAGAAATTTAAACCAAAACTCTGTCAGTAAAATAGCAATTAAAGATGCACTCATGTCTAAGAAAATAACAAGAAATGTTAACCTAAAACCCAAAATTAATCTTTTGATTATTACAGGTTTGTTTAATTCATAAAAACAATTTATCTAGGATTCCTTCAAATAAAAAACATCCAAATGTCATTAGTGTTTAGATGCCAGTCACTTATGGTGAGGGTTAGAAAAACTGCGGTGGGAGCAGCAGAGCATGGAAGTGATTGTGAACCACTGCCAAAGTGAAATCAATTAAAAAGTTAATCAAACATCTGAAAGTACACTTTCAGTTACTAGACAGTAAGATTTCATTTCTAAAGTAGAATTTCAATGCAGGTTTTCAACAAATTTAAGAATCTAAGAAGTATCTCTTAAAAACGAGAGAGCTAGCACAAAAAAATCATTAAATGTCTCCTTGATTATCACAGTTGATTATGGTTTTACTTAGTGTGCATAAATCAAAAAAACACCTCAGAAGTTCACCAAATTAAAAATAAGGATCGTTTATATCAGAAATCTGAAATCCAGTGGAAAAAATAGAACAGAACTAACCTTGGTCAAGAAAGTCTCCACGCTGTCATTTGAACGGCGTGGAATTGAGGTAGAAAACCCTACGTTTGCTCCTGAAATAAGATTTGCATTGAACCCTGAAGTAGGATTGAAATTTCCAACAGAAGAGGGCTCCAGGACTGACCTGCTGCTGAGAGTGCTGAGTAAAGATCTCTTCCGCTGTTTCTCCACCTCAAGTTTGGTGCTCATCTCTGCCAGCCTCTCATTATTCCTGGGGATGATGGAAAACACCAATTTCATTCATGTTTCCCTATGTGACTTGCATTTTGTAAGTTGCCGCACAGTAAATGGAATTCCCATTACCCTGTATGTACACTGGAAGCACACAGCAGACCTGCTGTAAACAGTGACGGCTGTGACCTTGTTCTAAAGAAGCACACGTGTGTCTGGGGCTCCTCAGGTAACAAGTCACAGCTGGGAGAGGAGAGAAGGGGCATCAGAGAGAAAGGGAGGTGGGCTCACAGTGACACCTGCTGCCTCTGGGACACGCCTGCCCCCAGGAAACAGGGATGAAGAAACACGCCATCCCACAAATCCATTTTCAAGCGTTTCCTTTCACCATTCTTATATATACCTTCCACTCATGACCGTGGAGAAATTAAGCACTTGGCTCTGAGGAATCACCTAGAGCCACAAACTTGAGGGCAATGGATGACAAAAGGGCTAAAGCAGCCCCAGGAACAATCACAAGTATGCCCTGCTTTTCCAAAGTTCATTTTATGTTACTTCACTTCTACGAAGGGCCTACATCAGCACCTGTATCTCATAAGCAAAAAAAAGAAAAAAATCTGAAGAGAATTTTTGGTTTCATTTCAAAAGGCAAAAAGTCAAAACGGCGCTCAGTGTATGTTTTTACAATGAGAGGCATCGCGCTCCCCAAGCAGGGAGACTGGCCCCACCGAGCTCCTTCCCCGGAAGCCACACCCCACACCCCAGCATCAAGTCCCACAGCCCTGAACCCTCTCTGGGAGCACCTGTGCTTCCCTTGTGTGTGCTTACTTTAGGCATCGGCTAGCAGAACGCGCCCTCGGGTCCCCGCTCCTTTGCTGTATGCTCTCTGGGCTCCTGACAGGCGTCCTAGGAGTGCTCTGCTTTCAGAGGCGGGGAAGCCTGGACTCGGCACTGCAGGTGGGATCTGCCCTTTCCAGCCTCCATACAACCCCTCAGTCAGGTCACCATGCCAGCGTCAGCCACTCTGTGAATTACCCGGCCTTTCACCCCAGTGTGAATAGTCCCTGATTTCACAAGCATGCTTTTACTTAGTGTAGGAAAACTTACAAGGATATCTCATTACTCATTTTTCTTAGGGTGCCCTCTAGCAGTGACTGACTAGCTAGCTTTCACTTCCTACTAATCTCAGGAACCTGGCTCTATAAAAACTAGGCTTCACAGACAAATTAATGGACTAAATTTATCTTCTGTGATTCTGTGTTTTGACTTACTTGTCTAGTTCATTTTCCAAGGACTTTCTGACTTTGAGTTCCTCTAAGTAGAGTTTCTTATACTTTTCCATCTCTGCTCTCTTATAATCTTGAAAAGTTTTCATCCTGGATATTTCAGACTCCAAGTCTTTAATTCTGAGTTCCATCTGACTTCTTATGGAAGCAATATGCCCCTCTTGGAACTGCTCTAAGATTTCTTGACATTCTGCTCGTGTCTAAGTCAAATTTAAAAAGATACATTTTTTAAATGATTATAACCTGAATAATGATATTTTTTCCATTTAGTTTTGAGTCAGGCATTCAGAGAGTGATTTTAAATGTGAAAATAAGAAAAGAGGAACTTTAAAATAATCATCGTCAATGTGACATGAATTACATCTGAATTATAAAATAAATGGGGAATCAGTGTTACAGTACTACTTAAGGAACCGGATGATTCAAAGACTAAGAGGATGAGTGAAAATTCAGAAACTGAACAAGACAAGAGTAATTCAAGAGGACGGTACCAGTTCTAAACCAAATATTTCCCTCCCCCCCCAGTCTTGTGTATACCAATTGGTCTTACAAGTAAAAGGATTCTCTAGTGAGAAGCATTCTGAAAGATCACTTTAGTGATAACTGTGATGGACACTGAAATATTTACAAGGAGAAACAAGTGTGCCCCTCCTTCCAGAAATCTACAGAACACACTGCTCTAAGGGAAGCAGAGGAAACACATAAGCTGTTTCCATCCAAAATGTAGTTTACAGTGAGGTGAATTCAAGCACATGACAGATCAACAAATTAACCTGCAAAAATAGGTTGACTTCTTTCAATTTCTCTACGAGGTGCTCCCTTGCTCTTTCTTCAATCTCCCATTTATACTGCTCAACTTGAGTGTGTTCTATCATCTTCAGTTCTGTATAACTTTGGAGTTTCACTACTTCTTGCTCCAACTTCCTGCGCTCTTTCACTAGTTTCTCACATTTCCTTTGCCATCCTTTCATTGATAACAATTCCCGTTGAAGAACTTGATATATTGCATCCAGGTGCACACACTGTGAACAGCCAGCTCCCAGCTCTGCTGGAAGATGATCAATCTGCAAGAATAAAACAATACCATTTGGTTCTGAGGAAAGTGGACTGAGCACAGCCTCACTCAAACCGAGGATCAAATATATACAATGGTATCTGTATTGGAGAATGTAGGACCTGGAATAACTCAGAGAATCAAGAAAGAAGTTCAAGCCACCAAGAGTCACAAAATATACTCTTCACTATCATCTTAGTCTCACAACATTTGCACTTGATTTTACACTCTTTTATTGTTCTACAGTAATACTTTTCTATCTTTCCTCTGTAGAACGACTGCAAGCCACCTCCTAGTAGAATGTCTCTTACCCCTTTCTCCCATCTTATCCCATGGTTTTTAAAGAAGTTTGAGGTATCCTGTATTGAATTATCTAGGACTGACTTAATAAATGCCTCCTCAAAGAAGATTGTGAAAATAAGACTCTAATGGTTAAAACTTGGAAATATGGATTCTAACCCAATAAGCCTTTTCTGAACTACAAACAGTTTTTGCTAATTTGAATTGCATTCCAAAGAGACATGAGTCACAAGGTTAAAGAAAGGTTAAAGAAATCCCATCTCCTAAGAGTTTAGTGAGATGATCCATACATTTTTCTGAACAACAAAAAAATGCCTCATTCTTGTAACCCTTTCTTACTTTCCACAGAATAAGAGACATACCAAACAAAGGAAAGAAAAAATATTTACTGGAATATCAGTGACACTGAATTGGAAAGAACTTTCCTTTAGACAGAATGATTACTTGGTAAGTCGACGTGAGTGGAGCTCGTGGTTTTCAAACATGTCTCCAAATTCTTTTGACACTTTTCTCATGAAATTCCCTCTCCTTAAGTATGTGTTAGTCCTAGTAACTGATTCCTCCTGTACAGAGTCTGGGGAAACTGCTGTGTGAGTTTTAACGCTAAATAGCTTCTGAATGTCCCTCTGTGGGGAAGCCAACTCTTAGACTCAGTCAACACGCTGTGAAGAAGCACAGCCCACACACTGAGCACATGTCAGTGTCCCCACTGACCGCCCCCCACCTAATGGCCCCTCCAAAAGCCAGCTCCAACACCAGACGTGTGCATGGGGAAGTCTTCAGATGACTCTGGTCCCCAGCTTCACAACATCCCGGCTGATGCAACTGGAGAAGAAATGAGCGGGGCTCACTCACTGAGCCTTGCGCCAGCACAGACTTGTGAACAAAGGAAACGCTGTTGAGTCACTGGGCTTTGAGGTGGTTTCTAATGCAGTTTGTTAACAATAAATAACTGGCACAGACACTGAGAGTAAACATGGGGTTCAGTTCAGTCGCTCAGTCCCGTCTGACTCTTTGTGACCCCATGGACTGCAGCATGCCAGGCTTCCCTGGCCACCATCAACTCCCAGAACTTGCACAACTCGTGTCCATCGAGTCGGTGATGTCCCCAAATGAGGTACTGCCATTAAAAAAGAGCTGAAACATGCGAGAATGCCTTTGAACCTGGAGGTAGGTTGCACTTGAATGGATGCAGAGAAAGAAATGAAAACCCAATGGGCTTCATGGCATTGTACACAGAAGCCTGATGGTCCCTGAAGATGCTGCTGGTGATGCCTTCTAGGCAAGAGAAGAAACGGACACTGAAATATGGGAGGAGGAGACTCTTGCTTTAAAGCAGCTGAAAGTAAATCAATGAGAGGGATAAGCTATCAGAAAAATTTAAAAGTGCTATTAAATATAAAGGAACCAAGACTCACTGGCTTCAATGTCTGTATCCCCTTTACAGCATCTCCACATGTCCAATTGTCACAGGCTGCTAAAGGACAGAAATGGCTTCTGGGCTAAGATCAAATCTAGGGTGCTGCCAGGAAAACACGGTCTAAAGGTAAAACCTGTAGACTGTAAGTGTAAGACCCTGGAAAGACGTAAGGTGGTGCCTCAGATTCCTTAAAGGATCTTAAGAGGAAAAGAACGCTAAAAGTGTCATCCTGCAAAGTTTCACAGGAATCCTAAGGTGCAGGGCTCCCTTCAGAAAAGATTTTGGAGGGTAACTTTTCCAATGGCGTGAACCCCAATCAAATTCACAGGACACTAAGAGCTTTAAAGAGAACCTTGGCAGGAAAAACACTGCTGGTTTGTTTGACCTAACAGAGACCAAGTGTGAGCCGCCCAGTCATGTCTGCCTCTGTGCCCCATAGACTGAAGCCCACCAGGCTCTTCTGTCCATGGATGGGATTCTCTGGGAAAGAACACTGGAGTGGCTTGCCATATCCTTCTCCAGGGGATAAGGCTTCCCTGATAGCTCAGTTGGTAAAGTATTCACCTGCGGTACAGGAGATTCTGGCTTGATCCCTGGGTCGGGAAGATCCGCTGGAGAAGGGATAGGCTCCCCACTCCAGTATCCTTGGGCTTCCCTTGTGGCTCAGCTGGTAAAGAATCTGCCCACAATGCAGAAGACCTGGGTTCGATCCCTGGGTTGCAAATATCCCCTAGGGAAGGGAAAGGCTACCCACTCCAGTATTCTGCCCTGGAAAATGCCATGGACTATCTGGTCCATGGGGTCTCAAAGAGTCAGACACGACTGAGTGACTTCCACTTTCACTTTCTCTGGGGGCTCTTTCCAACCCAGGGATCAAACCTGGGTCTCCTGCATTGCAGGCAGATTCTTTACTGTCTGAGACACCAGGGAAGTCCAACCGAGAGACCAAGACATACAAAATGAGAAGGGGCCTTGGGATTTTCTTAGAAGTTCAATAAAGAGGAATCTGGCTCAGGAAATATGAGTCACCTATAGACAGAGGTCATTTCTTACGAAAAGGACAGCACAGAGCTCAGACTGCAAGCGCAGAAATAAAAAAATAATATTATCTTTCACGAGTTCACGAGTGATAAGCATTTGTAGTCAATGGAGTTTATAAACCTGATACCAGTAAGGACAGATTTCAAAATGAATGACTTTGCATCAAACAGCTTAAAATGATTTTTCATCATTTCATCATTTTTTTCTGGAATTTAAACTGGCAACATTTATTTCTTAAATAGAGAGGTTTTTACACATAAAATTGACCATCTGGTGATGTCCATGTATAGACTCACCTACTGTGTTATTGGAAGAGGGTGTTTGCTATGACCAGTGTGTTCTCTTGGCAACAATCTGTTTGCCTTTGCCCTGCTTCATTTTGTACTCCAAGGCCAAACTTGCCTGTTAAGCCACATATCTCTTGAGTTCCTACTTTGCATTCCAGTCCTCTATGATAAAAAGTACATTTTTTTTCCCGTGTTAGTTCTAGAAGGTCTTGTGGGTCATCATAGAACTGCTCAGCTTCAGCTAAAGAGTTCTAAAGGATAGCACGGAGAGATAAGAAAGCCTTCCTCAGCGATCAATGTAAAGAAACAGAGGAAAACAACAGACTGGGAAAGACTGGAGATCTCGTCGAGTAAATTAGAGATACCAAGGGAACATTTCATGCAAAGATGGGCCAACTAAGGACAGAAATGGTATGAACCTAACAGAAAGCAGAAGACATTAAAATGAGGTGGCAAGAACACAAAAGAACTGTACAAAAAATATCTTCATGACCCAGATAACCATGATGGGGTGATCACTCACCTAGAGACAGACATTCTGGAGTACAAAGTCAGGTGGGCCTTAAGAAATGAGCAAAGATAGTGAAGGTAATGGAATTCCAGTCGAGCTCTTTCAAACCTAAAAGATGATGCTGTGAAATGTGCTGCACTCAATATGCCAGCAAATGTGGAAAACTCAGCAGTGGCCACAGGACTGCAAAAGGTCAGTTTTCATTTCAATCCCAACGAAAGGCAATGCCGAAGAATGTTCAAACTACTGCACAACTGCACTCATCTCACATGCTAGCAAAGTAATGCTCAAAATTCTCCAAGTGAGGCTTCAACAGTACCTGAACTGAGAACTTCCAGATGTTCAAGCTGAATGTAAAAAAGGCAGAGGAACCAGAGTACAAATTTCCAACATCCCTAGCATCACAGAAAAAGTAAGAGAATTCCAGGAAAACATCTACTTCTGCTTCATCGACTATGTCAAAGCCTTTGACTGTGTGGATCAAACAAACTTTGGAAAATTCTTACAGAGATGGGACTACCCAACTACCCTACCTGCCTCCTCAAAACCTGTATGTAGCTCAAGAGGCAACAGTTAGAACTGGACATGGAACATCGGACTGGTTGCAAATTGGGAAAAGAGCACATCAAGGCTGTGTATTGTCATCTGCTTATTTAACTGATGTGCAGAGCACATCATGCGAAATGCCATGCTGGAGTAATCACAAGCTGGAATCAAGATAGCCGGGAGAAATATCAATAACCCCAGATATGTAGATGACACCACCCTTATGGCAGAAAGAGAAGAGGATCTAAAGATCCTCTTAAAGAAAGAAAAAGAGGAGCGTGAAAAAGCTGGCTTAAAACTCAACATTGAGGAAACTAAGATCATGGCATCCAGTCCCAGCAGTTCATGGCAGATAGATGGGAGAACAATGGAAACAGTGAGACTTTATTTTTGGGAGCTCCAAAATCATTGCAGATGGTGACTGTACCCATGAAATTCAAAGACGCCTCCTCCTTGGAAGAAAAGATATGAACAACCTACACAGCATATTAAAAGCAGAGATATTACTTTGCCGACAAAGTTCTGTCTAGTCAAAGCTACGGTTTTTCCAGTAATCACGGATGGATTTGTTAGTTGGACCATCAAGAAAGCTAAGCACCAAAGAATTGATGCTTTTGAACTGTGGTGTTGGAGAAGACTCTTGAGGGTCTCTTGGACTGCAAGGAGTTCCAACCAGTCAGTCCTAGAGGAAACCAGTCCTGAATATTCATATGATGGATTCTGAAGCTGATGCTCCAATACTTTGAACACCTGATATGAAGAACTGACTCACTGGGAAAAACCCTGATGCTGGGAAAGATTGAAGGCAGGAGGAGAAGGGGACATCAGAGAATGAGGTGGCTGGATGGCATCACTGACTCAATGGACATGAGTTTGAGCAGGCTCCAGGATTTGGTGATGGACAAGGAAGACTGGCTTGTTGCAGGCCATCGGTTTGCAGAGTTGGACACAATGGAGCAACTGAACTGACACATAAAATACTAAATGCTAATGAAAGTGTTTTAAAGTGTGGCTATAATTACATTTTACTTTCTAAAGATGCTCTAAACTAATTTCCATCAGTGGTTCAAGATATTCCAGGTTTTGTTAAACCACATCTGACTAAAATAATCCTTGAAAAAAATCCCATGCAAACCCCACCTCTTTAAAGAGAAATCCAACAAAGGAAAAAATATATTCTTTCAGAAAGAAGTATTCTATAGAGACACAGTATTCATTCCTGGTGAAGTGAACAAACAGCAATATTAAAAATGATTCATTCTCTAAAATCTCACAGAAGGGTTTGGATTACAAGAGAAATTCAGAATTTGCAATCAAATCATTGCTAAAATTTCTAGACTCAAACAGATATTTGTGTACCAATGTTTATGGCAGCATTATTAACAATAGCCAGGAAGTGGAAAAACCCCAATTTCATTGACAGAGGAATGAACAAACAAAATGTGGTCTGTATAAATTACTGCTTTTCGGCCGGATTCTCACAATATTTTAAATTAAAATCTTACTACAAAAATCATTAATTTTATGATTTCAGTCCACTTCTTCTATAAAGAGGAATTATGCTACCAGTAGCAAACAATATCAGTAAAAATACAATAAACTCTTTATTTTTTTCCCAATTATTTTACAATATTGTAGTGGTTCTTGCCACAAATTGACATGAATCAGCCATGGATTTACATGTGTTCCTCATCCTGAACCCCCCTCCCACCTTCCTCCCCATCCCATCCCTCTGGGTCATCCCAGTGCACCAGCCCCGACACTTGTCTCATGCATCCAACCTGGACTGGCCATCTGTTTCACACTTGACAATATACATGTTTCGATGCTGTTCTCTCACAATAAACTCTTTAATCAAAGAGGTTTTTCACACTGTCCAAAAATATTGTCATATATTACTAGTAAAAAAATTAAAATTCTTCCTCAATATGACAGAAATTAAGAGGTTGACTTACCAATCTTGTACTTGAAAGGGTTTTCTGAAGTTGTTCAACTTTGTCCACTTGCTTTTTGACTGTAGTTTGTAACTTGGCATTTTCAATTTCAAGTCTAAAATGCAGATTTAAAATAATTATTCTCACACATAGGTTTGTTTTTTTTTAAGTTTTTTTTTTTTTTGGACATGGACCATTTTTAAAGTCTTTATTGAATTTACTACAACACTGCTTCTGTTTTATGCTTTGGATTTTTGGCTGTGATGCACAGGAGATCTTAGCTCCCTGACCATGGATCAAACCCATACCCTCTGCCTTGGAAGGCAGAGTTTCAACCCCTGAACTCTCAAGGAAATACCTCACACGTAGATTTTTAAAATACCACACTGTTTCTGAACAAACATCTGCAGTTCAATTACAGAGGACCTCAGTATTTTGAAAAGTAAAGGATTTGGCAATTGCACTGCTTTTCTAGTCGTGTTTTGTGGACAATCGGCTTCCCTGGTGGCTCAAATGGTAAAGAATCTGCTGGCAATACAGGAGATCCAGGTTCGATCCCTGGGTCAGGAAGATCCCCAGGACCAGGATATGGCAACCCACTCTGGGATTCTTGCCTGGAGAATTCCATGAACAGAGGACCCTGGTGGGCTATACTCCACAGGGTCATAAAGAGTTGGATGCGATTGAGTGACTAACACTTTCACTTTTCACTTGTGGATAATGTGCAAAATATGGAAACAATGGCGGGGGGGGGGGGGGAATATGCATCTCAAAACAGCTCAAAGCCGAAATGTTACCCAGCTTCACAGGGATGTGTTTATCATTCCTGATTTAATTCTCGTAGTATAACTGTTTATCTGCTCTATACTTAAGTTGTTTTCTAGGCCGCTTTAAATCGTACCTTTGGATGTGATCCTGTGGTTTTTCAGCACATCTCACGGCCTCTATATGTTGATCCTGTGATTCCTGCAACTAAAAAGAGAAAAAAGAGGAAAAACAACTGTTGTAACTACTGATAACCTAGCGAATCCGCCATCATCACTTTCTCTTTCGTCTGCATATTGCTTACAGCTGCTCTCCTGCCATATAGCAGAGTTGAGTTGTTACAATAGACACCTTACAGTCCACAAACTGAAAATATTTACTGTTTGCCCTTTGCAGGTTACTGACCTCTCCTCTAGCACTCAAATACATCATCATCCATGCTTTAAAATTCATTTTCTCAAATAGACACACAAATTTATAAACTGGACAAATGGGGAAAGACAGAAAATTACCTTATGGTAACATATATTTTATTTTATTCCAAGCACCACATCAGCCATCACTTTAAACACCCACATATGTGAATGACCACGGATCTTCCAGTGATTACGAGAGCTAACACTGCCGTTGGTGACAACCAGATGCTTCAGGGACTAGTGCGAGAGGCAGGAGCCCCACAGGAGTTAGAATGCACGGGCCTGTGTTCTAGTTCTGAGCTGTGAGTCCTGGGGCAAATTACTTAACCTTTCTGTATCTCAGTTCCTCCATCCAGAAAATGGAGATAATGGTAGCATCAACCTCAATGGGATGCTGGGAAGATTAAACTGGGGACTATACATAATGTACTTCGAAGAGGACGTGGCACACAGTAAGAGCCGTTTGTAATTGGCGTTATTACGGTCGCTGTATTTTACCTGTAAAACAATTTGGTATTTCAGGCAGACGGCATGACAACAGAAGTGGTCTTCTACACAAGTCACAGTGAACTCACTCTCCATACCATTGCAAGGGGGCAGGAACGGGGAGCATGAGGCCCAGAACACACGTGTCCAGTACTTGGAAAACGTTCACTGACTCCACTAACCAACTAGTACTTCAGTACTTTTCTCCGCTTACAGTAATTTGTAACTTACTTCCTCTCTGTACTACTCAGTGGACAATGACCACCGCTTACTATGCAAATAGCACCTCCCGAACAGAGTGGTGCAGAACATTACATGACCGTCAGAGGAAGGGTGAAGTCACTGCCGTGGAAACATTACCCGACTGCTAAATCAAAGTTCTGAATCAATTCATTCCCAGCAACTGTTAATGTCTAGCAAGTACTCGGATGAGAAAATTGAGGTTTCCAGGTATGACTATCAGAGAAGCCATCCCCAGAACCTGAGGCTAGGAAGGTTAGAAATCCATAGAGGCCTGAAAGGCTAGATATCCATAAATCCCACTTCTGGCTGCATAATGAAGGAACACAAATTTACGTTTTACTACCTGAGTCGGGGGGGGGAAATGAGCATTTAATTAAACAATTCTCCTCTATTAGACTAAGCACTTTCAATTTTACATTTAATTACTTAAAATGCATTTTAATAAAAGTTTTACTATCCCAGCATCTCCAGGAAGGAATTACTGGTACGGATGGAGTGCTCAGTTGTATCTTAACAACTGGTAAGCTAAGCTATTTCCATTCATGCAAGACACGTGCTCTGCACATGAAGGAATGCTCCCTGTTGGACTAATGTTACTTAGGCAAGATTCCCCCTCGTGAAAAAAATGGCAATGTAAAATGAAGGGCTATACTGTACTTCACAGACTAGATGACAGGGCTGCAGAGAAAAGGCTCAGTGAGAACTGGACAGTCAGGAAAGCTCTGGAGGGGGAGAGACTGGGCACCAGGTCTGAATAAATGGAGGACTACCCAAGAGGAATAGAAACTGTAAAGACAGAAAGGACAGACTGAGAAAAGGCAAGAAAAGGAGAAATCAGCCAGTGAACTCTGAGGATAAAATCCAACCACAGGGAAATAAAAACATGTCCATCCAGAAACGTGTAAGTCAGTGCTCACAGCAGGATTATTTGTAGCCGCAAAGTGGAAACAACCCAAATCTCCATCAACTTATGAATGGATAAATGGCTTAGCCACGTATTGTTTCTTGTTTGACAATGAACGGAAATGGAAGAACTGATAACGTGTCATAACATGGATGAACAGGGAAAACATGACATCAAATGACAAAAGTTAACCACAAAGGATCACACACTGTGTGATTCCATTTATGTGAAATACCCAGAACAGGCACGTCCACACAGACGGATATTAGATTGGGGGCTGCCTGGGGCTGAGGGAGAGAAGGGGGCCATAGGTGGTGGCTACGGGATGCAGGGTTTCTTTTGGGGGGTGATGGAAATTCTCTAAAATTGACTGTGGTCACAGGTGACACCTCTCTAGACAGAGATACTGAACTACACACTTGGAACGGGTAAATTATATGATACGTCAATTATATCTCAAGAGCTTTCTAAAAAATCCAAAGGCACGATCTAGATAATGTTAATTCTTTTATTTTGCATGTACATACTATACTCCATCTGAGTACCTCCTTGCTTTTACAATATATCTAAGATGAATAGAAAAGAAGGCAATGCCTATATTCAACTGGTTTGCATAATACCCTTTCTGCACAAGTTATTCTGAAATTCACAAAATAAATATATACAGAACTCTACAGCCATTCACCAAAGGGAAGATGAGAAATGATAATTTTCTGGAAACTTCCATTAAACATTATCCTCTGATTTTACCTGGCTTGCTTCATGACGGTAATACAGCTATCGCTAAAAAAAATATTGTTCAATAGAGAAAAAAGTCTCTCAACTTGTGTGAACAATGATGCACATTTCTCCACTTTCCTAACAGTAAATAACATCAGTAAATAATATGTAATGCAAATGGCAGAATGAAAGGCAGAGTTTAAGAAACGAGTGCATTCTAAAGATAATAAAACTGTAGTAAATTACTTGTAACGAGCATACAAAAGAAAGCTGTCTATGAAAATGAGTGTCCTACAGAGGACATCTACCAGCTGGAGCAGCGGCTGCAGCGCCTGCAGCGCCTGCAGGGCCACAGGAGCAATGTGCTCCCAGCCTCCCTGCCCCCTGGCCCCTCCCCAGGCCTGCGGCCCGTCCTGCCCAGCCGCCTTGCCCGGGCCAGTCGAGGCATTGGCCTGGCTACAGGTCCCAGCAGAGCATCACTGCGGGCCAGGAACAAGATCCACCCCAGCAGCTCTTAGTGCCAAGGCCTCTGGGCTCCCCTCTCCCCAGGGCGCCCCCGTGGCTCCTCTCTGGTCCCTCGGAGCCAGAGCAGACACCGCTCAGTATTATCACCTTCTGCCACCCTCGGTTGTGGGCCAGGCAGAACAGCTGCACGCAGGTCCCCAGAGAGCAGGTAGGCTCTCTGCGGGCTTCAGCACTTTAGAGGCCACGTGGCCACCTCGGACCCAGGGTCCCCTCCCGCTCCTGTGGGAGGACACAGCAGTGCTGGACGAGTGCCCGGCCTCAGACGCTAATTTATTTCCCGAGTCCTCAGGTACAGCGGGTTGTGCCCGGCCCCCCTGCTGGCTGACGTCTCCCCTGCCAGGGACGCAGGCTCTGGGGAGGGGCCCGCACGCCTGTCATCCTCCCCTAAGTTATTACCTCCTCCGTCCCTGCTCAGTGCACTCGCCTCCAGCTGCCGCTCTGTCTGTTGTAATTTATGTGGGGTTAAAATGTGTACATTTTTGTACATCGCTTTATTTTTCAATACAGCCAAGGGATCTGGTGGCTGAAGCAGCCTGTGCCCACTGTCACCCACATTGAAGGGGAGCTGGGACCGCCAGAGCTGGTTTTCCCTCCCCAGACACCTGTCTGCCCAGCTGGAGGAGCAGCAGCTGCTTCTCAGATCCAAGTCTGGCCTTGGGCAAGTGCTGGGCAGAGAGGGCTTTTGGAGGGGAAACCCCACCCCAGGCTGGCCTTGCCACCGCCATGGCCTTAGCTTCCTGTCCAGGCCTGCTGGTGTCGGGTCTGGGTGAGGGCTGGGACCCTAGACCTGGTAGGGGAAGATCTCTGCCCGGGGGCTGGCTCCTGGGCCAGGGGAGGTGGGCGTGACCACGTATGTGTGAGGCTGTCCCAACGGCAAGGCCCCAGCAGCAGCCTGGCAGGCCCCCTCCCCACTGCATTGGGCAATGCCAAAGCTACAGCCTAGATCCCACCCCCTCAAGAGACGAAGTCAAATAAACAAGTTGACTGACCAAAAAAAAAAAAAAAGAAAATGAGTGTCCTAAAACACTTTATCCTATATATTAACTGTCGACACATTTACTTTCACACATACCTGACTTGGGAGTTGACGGAACTTGCTCTTTAAATCCTGTATCTCATCTTCTAAGTTCGCACAGTTACGTGCCATGCCTTCCAGTGCAGCCTCCGACACAGACCACATTTTGAGGCCATCAGCCAGTTCTTGCCAATGTTGTCTCATATCTGCCTAATAAGATTCTCTGTCACTGAGTTTACCAAATCACCTACTATGACGTTGTGTTAATAATAGATAACTCCAACATGCGGACTTTGAAAACCATGACCACACCACAGCAACTCACCTTCTTTTGCCTCCTCACTGAATCTGGTTACAGACATAGAAGGGGCCACCCTCTGCCTTCCTGATACTAAGTTACTCAGACAAAAGATGCAGACCCACTGTCCGTGCCCTGTCCCTCCCAATAAATCTGCAGAGCTTCACCACCTCACAACCAGAAAGAAATGGATGTGAATGTGCAACAAGTGGTGAAAAATTCCACCCTGTGGAACATCTTCCCTCTTTCTTTATTAGAGGCTTTGACTAACTTCAGACATCTTCACATATTCCAACCAGTGCTCAGATCTTTCCAACAGATTCCTATCCCAGCAGAAAAATGAGGCCATTCCCTTGGGGCTCATCCATCTGGTGCCTGGTCGTGTGTCTATGTTAACCCCAGACTCCTAGTCTCCCCGTGCTCCCCGCCTCTGCCCTTGGCGGACCACCAGGCCCCCCTGCGGAGCACAGGGACTCTGCTCAGCGCCCTGCAGTCACCTGCCTGGGAGAGGACCTGGGAGAGAACGGATACGTGTGCAACTGCACCACCGTGCTGGGCACCCGAAACTGACGCAGAAGTATAAACCAACTACACTCCAACACAGAAGAAAAACACAATCTACAAATGAGGTGGCTCCCAAGGCCCTCAGGGAGCCTCGACAGCCTGGCCTCCACCTGCCTCTGGACCGCAGCCCCTGCAGCCCGCTCCCTGACTCCCTCCACTCCTGCTGCTCTAAATCCTGCCACCCTTCATTTTTAGTGGGCAATCTGGTATTCAAATGACAGTAATTGATCCTTAAAATGAGAATTATGAGCAAATTGTTTATAAACATATTCTAAGTTAATAGCATAAATAGCAGTGGGAAGATTAAAACAAGAAGAGCTTGGTTAAAGCTCACCACTTGAGTCCCAAATTATGATTTAATGACAAGTATATTTCAATGACTTGCCAATGAATTCTCAATTAGTGACAATTCTTTAAAGAACTGAGAGGCCATAAGACTAAATGATTCAAGACTGAAATGTTTTCCAAGTTAATTCAAATTTACATGAATAAAATTAAAATTATACCAACAAGTATGACAAAAAGGTATGACAAGCTACTGAAACCAAGGTACTATATATAAGTGATAGCATCTGGGAAATATGGAATTGACTGTCAAGGTAATCCATGTAACTGAAGCTTAATTTCAGAATATTCATTTTAGGTATGAGCGTTTCTTTTATCTGCTTCATTATTATACCGACATGTGGTAATAGAAAGATTAAAATTATTATCTTCATAGTAAAAGATTAAATGACTAATATCTGTCTATATTAAAAATTTAGAACTTAAGCTCTTAACATTTCACAAGTGACACGATGTCTCCACTCAAAGTGAAGCATCTCCCGGGTCTAATTTTTATTTGCTGGATATAAGATGTGCTTTTAGGCTTGTTTAGAGATCATATATTCAAAGCCTGTGTATTTTTTCATTCAACTAGATTCACCATTTAGCCAGAATCAAGAATCATTTTGAATTTTCTTTCAGGAAGTCTAAGAATTATTTCTCCTTCTGGATCGTTACTTCTTCTGCTTCCTCATTTTCATACTGACACATTCTCTCTTCTAAATGATTCCATTTGTTGATTAACTCCTTGTTTCTTTCCTCCAGCATCAGATGTTGTTTCTCACTTTCAGCATGAAGATTTTTCACCATCTGCTGAAACTGGTCTTGGATGCTAATGACTGTCTTCTCTTTACTGTCAGCTTTGTTTTGTGCATCATCCAGGTGCTGTCGGAGCAACATATTTTCACTCTGGAGTTGAGATAATCTCAGAACTGCCATATGACCCAGCAATCCCACTCCTGGGCATACACACCGAGGAAACCAGAAGTGAAAGAGACCCGTGTACCCCAGTGTTCATCGCATCATTGTTTACAATAGCCAGGACGTGGAAGCAACCTAGATGTCTATCAGCAGACGAATGGATGAGAAAGCTGTGGTATATATACACAATGGAATATTACACAGACATTAAAAAGAATGCATTTGAATCAGTTCTAATGCGGTGGATGAAACTGGAGCCTATTATATAGAGTGAAGTAAGTCAGAAAGAAAAAAACACCAACTCAGTATATTAACACATATATAGGGAATTTAGAAAGATGGTAATGATGACCCTATATGTGAGACAGAAAAAGAGACACAGATGTATAGAAGAGTCTTCTGGACTCTATGGGAGAAGGCGAGGGTGGGATGATTTGAGAGAACAGCACTGAAACATATATTTTATTATATGTGAAACAGATTGCCAGTCCCGGTTGGATGCATGAGACAGGGCGCTCAGGGCTGGTACCCTGGGATGACCCTGAGGGATGGGATGGGGAGGGAGGTGGGAGGGGGGTTCAGGATGGGGAACACATTGTACATCCGTGGCTGATTCATGTCAACGTGTGGCAAAACCACTACAATATTATAAAGTAATTAGCCTCCAATTAAAATAAAAGATAAATAAATAAAAATAGCAAGGAATGTACATGTTGCTAGATATATTTTTAAAAGAAAAAATATCTTCCATAGATAATTTTATAAACTCTGGTGGTATTTTTTTCTTTCCTTATGATTTTATAATAACAAGTAGTCTATATAAGAAAAAAGCATAAGTCGTGATTTCATTCACTTAATGTATGTAATTATTTGCTGACATTCAGAAAAAAGAAATCAGAATGTCTCCAGAGGAAAAATAGAGTTAGTTCTCCAGTTTTTCTTTCAGATTGTTGCAGCTGAAAATTTTCTCATTCAATGAAAAGAGATTAAGAATCTCATTTATAAAATTATAAATTATAATTTTAGTAAAAAGGATAGAGAGAATGCTTATTTATTTCCTCTTTATTTTCAGAAAGATCTAAAACACCCACCAAGGTTATAGCAAACAGTTTATGATAAATTAGGTGAGTACATTTAAGTATATAGTGTCAGACATGAATGAGCGACTGAACTGAACTGAAGTTAGAAACCATAAGAAACAGAAGCTCCAAAAATTCTTAATTCATAATACATCTCCTAAGGCCTAAAACAGGGCTCATCTTGAATTCTTGCTAAACGAAAGTTTTGCTAGGTTAAATAGAAGACATGGCTCCATTAATTTCAAAGTGAGATTTTTTTTTTTTTAAAGAGAAATCACTTAAAATTTAAATGGACTTCCAGAGGGAACTATATTCAAAAAACATATATACATACACAAGTATAAACAAATCACGTTACTGTACACCTGAAACTTACACGGCATTTTAAACTGACTACACTTCAATCGAAGGAAAAAGCAAGAACCACCACCACCGTCGAAAACAACCACCAAAACCAATAAGGAACACATTTTCTTTCAGTTCTTCATAAAAATCAGCTATATGCCATTCAAAAGAGTATGAGCATTGTTTTTTCATGACCTCACTTTCTCTTCTTAAGTTGAATTTGAAATACTGTCGCAGAGAATTATACCAGAGTTCCTGGTCTGACTTACCCCCACTATTTCTGTTGTGTGTGTAAAGTAATCTGTCTCATCTTCACCCTCATTCCATCTTATGTTCATCTTGTCCTTCGTAAAGGAATTCTTCCCCTTCATCCTCCTCCCCGTCTTCATATTCATCTAGTTGTTTTTCCTAAGTGCTTTGTAATTCAGTACTTTCATAATGGTATACTTAGTATGCCAATATTTATAAATCTGAATCATGCACAGGTATGGCTCTTATTATCACATCATTTCATATCGTGACTTTGAGGGCTTCTATTTCTGTGGTGGGATCCTTTTTGTCTTCATAAGGATCAGGGGAATGGTATGTGAACAAGTCCAGGGAAAGAAGAGTTACAAACAGAACCACTTACCTTTGTAGGACCAAGGCCTGCTACAGACTTGAGAAGTTTTGGAACAGGCTCAGGTGATGGGAAGGCAGGCTGACAGATGCCCTCAAACCAGGGTGATGGTTTGGGAAATGTTTCACCCACATCTTCAATGTTACTATCAGAATTACTGTCCTCAGAGAAGGTGGTACTCTCTGGTCTCAAAATGCCACACTTTGCTTCTACTACAGTGAAAACAGGAGAGAGTACATGAGAACATGTGTCATTTCAAATCAGGGAATAACACCAGAAGGACAGTCTTCGAATAACTTACTGTTTCTGCTGGACTGCTGAGAAGGCTTCATGAGCTTTGTCAACTTTGGTTTCACGACATGCTGGAGAAGAAAATAAGAGGTTGAAGACTATAACAAGTATCAACCTGAATAAATGTATAACATCCTCCACTCCTCTATGATCTAACACAAAGAGCACAGGCTCTGGAGTCATTCAGATGTGGACTCAAATCCCAGTTCTGCCACTGACTGACCTGCTCATGGGGAAAGGATTATGACAGATGACATCAGAAGCCCCGGATGTTCCTCTCCTTACCCCTCACTGACAGCTATACAGATACGATGTCAGTAATCTAGTGACCCACTAGATTACTTTCTCTACCAAAATGTTCGAGAGTAATAATTTATCCCCAGGAGTTCAGAGCACCGTTGAAAAACTAAGACATTTAAATTAATTGCTATATTTTGAAGTCTGCTTCCATGATTAATATATACATGAATTATCACTTGGGAAGGGAAATATGAAAGTTTAGGTTTTAGCAGAACCTGATTTAGATGGGCTAGAACTGCAAACAGGATAAGCTACTTCTATTCTGTTTGTCAAACAGCGAGAGATATAAAACAGGGGGAGAAAAACCAGCTGCTTCCATGAAACAGGGAAAAAGCAAGGTCAAACGCGTAGGGTAATGATCGTGAAGGAACGCCACAAGCACTCTAAACAGACAGCCGTAAGCAAACGTGTGCACAGTAGGGGAAGAGAGAGATGGACTGAAAGGACAGACACTGAAGAAATTTGTTCTGTGAGGAAAAATTAAGTTACCAGTCAGTATTTAAAAAAAGAAATTAAAAAGGTAGAGGAGAAAGAAGAAAGGAAAAGGTGAGACATTCTCAGTCAAGAACAAACTTCACGGGGAAAAAAAATAAGTATAATAAGGTACGTGGAGAAACACATATATTTAGAATTTATATACAATAGATCAGTAATATATCAGTATTCTTAAGGATATACTATGAGCGAAGCCTCTTTTTCATATGATTTTATTAATCTAATTATAGGCATCTACACTGTTCTTCAAATTTTGTGAAAATATCAACATCAGTTCAGGTCAGTTGCTCAGCTGTGTGCGACTCTTTGCGATCCCATGGACAGCAGCACACCAGGCCTCCCTGTCCATCACCAATTCCCGGAGGTTTTACAAACTCATGTCCATTGAGTCGGTGCTGCCATCCAACCATCTCATCCTCTGCCGTCCCCTTCTCCTCCCGCCTTCAAACTTTCCCAGAATTGGTATTTTCCAATGAGTCGGTTCTTCACATTGGATGGCCAAAGTATTGGAGTTTCAGCTTTCTGAATGTTGAGTTGTAAGTCAACATTTTCACTCTCCTCTTTCACTTTCATCAAGAGGCTCTTTAGTTCTTTAATTTCTGCCATCATGGTGGTATCATCTGCGTATCTGAGGTTATCGATATTTCTTCTGGCTATCTTGAATCCAGCTTGTGCTTCATCCAGCCCAGCATTTCGTATGGTGTACTCTGCATGTAAGTTAAATAAGCAGGGTGGCAATTTACATCCTTGATGTACCCCTTTCCCGATTTGGAACCAGTCTATAGCTCCATATCCAGTTCTAACTGTTGCTTCTTGTCCTGTATACAGATTTCTTAGGAGGCAGGTGAGGTGGTCTGGTATTCCCACCACTTGAAGAATTTTCTACACTTTGTTGTGATCCACAGAGTCAAATGGTTTGGCACACTCAATAAAGGATAAGTAGATGCATTTCTGGAACTCACTTGCTTTTTTTATGATCCAGAGGATGTTGACACTTTGATCTCTGGTTCCTCTGCCTTTTCTAAATCCAGCTTGACAATATGAAGTTCATGGTTCATGTAATCTTGAAGCCTGGTTTGGAGAATTTTGAGCGTTACTTTCCTAGTGTGTGAGATGAGTGCAATTATGTGGTAGTTTGAACATTCTTTGGCATTGCCTTTCTTTGGGATTGGAAGGAAAACTGAACTTTTCCAGTCCCGTGGCCACTGCTGAATTTTCAGATTTGCTGGCATATTGAGTACAGCACTTTCACAGCATCATCTTTTAGGATTTCAAATAGCTCAACTGCAATTCCATCACCTCCACTAGCTTTGTTCGTAGTGATGCTTCCTAAGGCCCACTTGACTTCACATTCCAGAATGTTTGGCTCTAGGTGAGTGATCACACCATCCTGGTTATCTGGGTCATGAAGATCTTTTTTGCAGAGTTCTGTGTATTCTTATACACCTCATCTTAATGTATTCCGCTTCTGTTAGGTCCATACCATTTCGTCCTTTATGGTGCCCATCTTTGCATGAAACGTTCCCATGGTATCTCTAATTTTCCTGAAGAGATCTCCAGTCTTTCCCATTCCATTGTTTCCTCTATTTCTTTGCATTCATCCCTGAGAAAGGCTTTCTTATCTCTCCTTGCTATTCTTTGGAACTCTGCAGTCAAATGGGTATATCTTTCCTTTTCTCCTTTGCCTTTTGCTTCTCTTCTTTTCTCAGTTATTTGGAAGGCCTCCTCAGACAACCATTTTGCCATTTTGCATTTCTTTCTCTCCAGGATGGTCTTGATCACTGCTTCCTGTACAATGTCATGAATCTCCATCCATAGTTCTTCAGGAACTCTGTTTATCAGATCTGATCTCTTGAATCTATTTGCCACTTGCAGTGTCTAATCATAAGAGTAAATACTACATGAAACTAAATTCAGAGCATGAAAACAAATTTCACCACAGAACACTTTACCTTGGTTTTAAAATCTAAGACTTCATTGTTTGATGGAGGCCCTAAATCAACGCCAGGTTCGTTGGGAAACCTTTAAAGCAGAAACATACAATAAAAATGAGTGAGCTCATTACTTGAAGAGAAGAAAAAAAAAAAACAAGTGAAAGTCTCTCTATATATTAAATAAACTTTCTTGACATGAATAAAATTTGGCCGGTTTTAAAACAGCTTTTTTAAAAAAAATTTCTAAAGATTTTTTGATGTGGACCACTTTTAAAGTCTTTACTGAATTAGTGCCAATGGTGCTTCTATTTTATGTTTTGGCTGTCTGACCCCGAGGCATGTGAGATCTTAGCTTCCCTGACTGAGTATCGAACCCACACTGCCTACACTGGAAGATGTCTTAGTAAGCATCTTAACCACTGCACCCCCAGGGAAGTCTCCAAAAAAGCTTTTCATTACCTATTTCTGCTTCCTTGTCTCCCAATCTATGAAATATCTAGTTAACACTCATTCTTAGTTTCCATAACAGAGAGTGACAGCCAATATATCGGCAGAGCCTAAAAATAATTTGTTTTCACCAAAAGTTCTAACAGCTGAACTGGAAATCCCATTGATGGACTGAAATAACTCTTGCTTGCCCAAACTGGAATAAACCTGATGACTTAAAACAAAGCGGAAGAACAGGCTCTGCCTTCTGCACTGTCTGTCCAAGGCTCAGAGAGGACTCTGAGTTGGCCCAAAAGGGGAGACCCGGTCCATCAGCAGGGTGCCGCTTGCTGAGACGGCAGCACTTCTCTCCTTGACTCGAAGAGGGAGCTCGGGGCGTTTCCCCACAGTGTCGAGACGTAAAATGCGCACAAGTCAAAGGACTAAGCTATACCTCTAACCTGTATGCTACACGGGTACTCCTCAGTCTCTGCTGAGGGCCATGGGAGTGGACGTGGGAGCCAGGACGGCCAGCTGTCAGAGCACAGGTCAACTCATTTGAACCAGGGTCAATTCATTAACCTCCTGAAACCACAGTTGCCTAATTAAGTAAAAGCAGGACACAGCTTCTTTACGAAGCTGCGTGGTGACTCTAGGAGGTCACACGTGTTAGGCACGTAATGCAGTGTCGAACCCAGAGCAGGACACTCAACAAACATCAGGTTCTCTTAGTCCATGTTCCCTCAGTTACACATATAATTTAAAACATCCATAAAATCCTACCTCCTTGAAGAGTCCTCTCCAGAACTCTCATCCGCTATTAAAGAAAAATCAAGACACATTTTAAATCAACAGAAGAAAAATACAGAATATTAAAACCTCAAGACTGATGCTTTGTTTAAAAGTATTCCTCTCAAACCACACCCAGAGGCCACACTAGAAGAAGGGAACAGTGGTTGTACTAGTCTCATAGGCTCACCTAAGAATGCCTAAGAACCACTCCTCCCCTTTATAGTCATCAAATGCAAAACAAAAAAACAAAGAAAGAACTGCTGTTTACAATGGCCATAATCCTAACCAAACTCCAGGAGACTGACAGTAATAGAGTCAGTACTATAAGCTGACAACAGCACACTTAAGTAGCACAGTATTTCTGGACTTCCACTGCCTGGAGCACTGAGCAGAGACTATAGGTGTCTTGCTGGGACAGGACAACTCTGGCTCTTCAGTTCAGAATGAAAACACCCTATCACAGGGAAGCTTGGTCCACAGGCACTGAACTTCAGAGTGTGGTAAAGCATAGGAAACAAAGTCTTCTCTTCCTGGCCCTCTTCCCAAAGGCAAGAGAAGTATGAAAGAACTAGTCATTCCAGGCTTAGAAAGGATAACCTCTTGAAAGGGAGGTGGGGGAGGGCAAACGGGTAAAGGGGATCAACTCGGTGCTGAGAGTGGGGACTATTCTTTTAGACTTGTAGTGGTGAGACTGCAGTAGGTTACACAGAAGCTGAACTTTTTAAAAAATTTCCATACACACACACACACACACAGACACACACACACACGGACACACACACACACAGAGACACTAATATGTCTAAAAAGAATCTCTTGAGACTGTCTCCTTCCATTGCTCAAGAGTATCTGGACCACATAGAGCAGGATGGTCCAAAGAGTGCTGCGTACTAGTGAGGGCTATCATTATATCAACCCTTCCCATTATATGGCAAATGTTGATAGAAAGCATGCTTTTTCAGCTTGGAAGGCATACGTCATCACATCCTAAGCTGATGAACAAGGGGAGGGAGGGAAGGATGGAGGGAGCCACGGACTCTGGTTCTGCTAAACAACATTTCCCAGGGGTCGTCATGATCTGATGCTGGAGGGACGACTCACATGCAGTGACTCCACAGGGAGAGGAGCACTGCAAGCTTGAGCCTGGAGAGCAGGGCAGTGAATTTTAACTGTTTTCACTCTGTGACATCAGAACAATGCTTAGGACACAAAAGACACTTGAAAGTTATCTGTTTAGTGAACAAATGAGCAAATAAATAAGCATGTTTTCTTTGAAATTTTTGTTTAGAAAAATACAGAAATTTTTAGAAAAAGAAAAGAAAAATACAGAAATTAACCAGAGAAAACTCTATGCTATTCTGAGCATACTGAAGACCAAGACACTCTCATCTCTGTATCTCCTCTGACTAATGTATTAAACCAACCTACAGTTCTTTGATAGATGTTTTTGTTGTTCAGTCACCAAGTGGTGTCTGACTCTTGTCACCCCATGAACTACAGCTCACCAGGCCCTTCTGTCCATGGAATTTCCCAGGTAAGCGTACTGGAGTGCGTTGCCATTTCCTTCTCCAGGGGATCTTCCCGACACAGGGATCAAACCATATCTCCTGCATTGGCGGGTGGATTCTTTACTACTGAGCCACCTGGGAAGCCCCCTTTGATTAGACAGAGGTCTACTCAGTCAAAGGCATCCTCGGATACCCTGTACAATGTGCTAGATGCCACATCCAGTGGACCTAATGCTGTTTTTGTTAATGCAAAGTATTTCTGTGCTTTTATTAGAACCTGCAGAGTCCCAAGTCCATCTATTTGGAGATCTATTAAGATAATTTTTTAACTGATGGCAAGAAGCATCTTGTTCTTACAAAACTATACTGTCATGACAATTGGCCAACACACAAAAGAAAACATCTGGTCCTAATGAAGTCAATCTATCTCACTCTTTTTGGATCTGTAAGGAATGAAGTTGCTAAGCTACACCTGCTAGATACAAAACAGGCAAAATAACTGGTTCTCAACCAGGCATTGCTTTTCTGCCTTCGGTACTACTGGTAGGTATCTTTCAGAAATACTCTCTCACTACTATGCTGCACACTGGCTCAGCTTTGCAGTTCTTATTGTTGATCATTTCTTATCCTACCAGGAAGGGGTTATTCAGGTTCCCAGTTTTAATGATGGTAACTATTTTAGTGAGACTAATCACTACACAGTAACTACTAACTATTCATTCACTAAATGCAAACCATTTCTATAAATGAAAGTTCACTTTCATAAGAAGTCCAATCTGCTATAATATGACTATAGATGAAATATACCTCATACTCAAATTTTTTTTTCCTGATTTATACAAAGATCGAATATAGGACTTTAGGGGCCATATTAAACAGATGGATTTCTTTTCAGACAATACTGTCTTTGATGTTAAATCACCTACAATTAACTTCTTAATCACTTCTGAGTACTAGAGTATTAAGAAATTAATTTAAAAAATAAAATACACATGCAATTTATGCTAATTTTTCATAGTTCTTTCATTATTGAAACTTCTTCACTCCTACTTTATCTATGGTAGAATCACCAAAAGTAATTCGGTATCAGATGACGTACCTGGGTCACTCTTTGCAGGAGAAGTTTTAGGTCTCTTTTCTTTGTATTCAGAAATCAGTTGGCGAAAGCTATGTATTAAAAATGTGATAAGTAATATTTTAACACTGATATGAAAAACAACTACCAAATTCTTGGATCATTTCAGACAGTGTCAGAGATAATATCAAAACTTCAACTGTCCCATACATTTCAAGTTTCTAAGTTCTATACGCTTTTATTTAGCATGTAGTAAAGGAGAAAGTAAAGGTATATTGTCACCCTGCTTATTTAACCTCTATGCAGAGTACATCATGAGAAACGCTGGGCTGGATGAAGCACAAGCTGGAATCAAGATTGCCAGGAGAAATATCAATAACCTCAGATATGCAGATGACACCAGCCTTATGGCAGAAAGTGAAGAAGTACTAAAGAGCCTCTTGAGGAAAGTGAAAGAGGAGAGTGAAAAAGTTGGCTTAAAGCTCAACATTCAGAAAACTAAGATCATGGCATCCGGTCACATGACTTCATGGCAAATAGATGGGAAAACAGTGGAAAGAGTGGCTGACTTTGTTTTCTTGGGGGCTCCAAAATCACTGCAGATGGTGATTGCAGCCATGAAATTAAAAGAGGCTTACTCCTTGGAAGGAAAGTTATGACCAACCTAGGCAGTATATTAAAAAGCAGAGACATTAATTTGCCAACAAAGGTCCGTCTAGTCAAGGCTATGGATTTTCCAGTGGTCATGTATGGATGTGAGAGTTTGACTGTAAAGAACAGCATCGAAACACGTGTATTATCAAGTGTGAAACAGACTGCCAGTCCAGGTTGGATGCATGAGACAAGTGCTCGGGGCTGGTGCACTGGGATGACCCAGAGGGATGGGATGGGGAGGGAGGTGGGAGGGGGGGATTCAGGATGGGGAACACATGTAAATCCATGGCTGATTCATGTCAGTGTATGGCAGAAACCACTACAATATTTTAAAGTAATTAGCGTCCAACTAATAAAAATAAATGAAAAAAGAAAGAAAGAAAGCTGAGCACTGAAGAATTGATGCTTTTGAACCATGGTGTTGGAGGAGACTCTTGAGAGTCCCTTGGACTGCAAGGAGATCCAACCAGTGCATCCTAGAGGAAATCAGTCCAGGGTGTTCATTGGAAGGACTGATGTTGAAGCTGAAACCCCAGTATTTTGGCCACCTGATGCGAAGAGCTGACTCATTTGATAAGACCCTGATGTTGGGAAAGACTGAAGGCAGGAGGAGAAGGGGATGACAGAGGATGAGATGGCTGGATGGCATACCAACTCAATGGACATGAGTTTGGGTAAACTCTGGGAGTTGATGATGGACAGGGAGGCCTGGTGTGCTGCGGTTCATGGGGTCCCAAAGAGTCAGACACGACTGAGTGACTGAACTGAACTGAAAGGAGAAAGAAAAGGAAGATGAAGTAGTCATGAACTCGGGGCGTGTACAGCTCCAATAATTAACTAGATTTAGCTTGGCATACAGAAAATCTCTTGAGCTTGCAAATCCTAGCTCTATAACCAACTGCTCTTTGTTCCTGGAGGAGTTGCTTCTCTTCAGTTCAAAGTCTTCCTCTACACAACTTGGATCTTACTGCCTGATTTCACAAGAGGACCAAGAGGATTTAAGGAGATAATAGATCCCCAAAATGCGTGTAGAAACAGTCAAAGAATGGAATAATTTGTGCTTGAACTACTTTGGAATTCCAAGTAAAACCCAATGTGTGTTTTTTCATACATTTAACATTCAAGTGCTGCACGAAGCTGTTATGAATTCTGGTGATTAGCTGTTCTTCGTGATCTATAATTTAGGGAATCTCAGCTCTTATATAATGTGCACCTAAATTTATTTATAACATATGAACTCACTACATGAGAGAACATAATGATCCCCCATTATTACTGCAACTACTTACACCAAGAGCAGAAAACTAATCACAATCAAGACCTGGCCTGGACCACTACCCTTCCTCCTCTACCTGCTCAAACTCTGAGCCCGCAGATCTTTCCGACAACGATGTTTAATCTCCATGTTCCTCTCCAATTCACTTGGAAGACATATCCCTACTCTTACAGTGGATACTGGCAAGTTCTAGACAGGGCTTACCTCTGAATTCTTACTTGAGATTCTTACTTAATTGAACTATCTTACTTGAGATTTAGGGATTTCTGCTGAATGAGTTCCTTATGGGGCAGATTCTGAAAACATTTAAGGTGGAGGCGGATAGGAATCCACTGGAAGACTTTCTTTATTACAGGAAACAGATCCCATAAGGGGCCAAGCATAATTAGGGAATCTCAGGCAAGCTGGCACCCACTACTCTGGGAAGGATGACGGGGAGCCTGTGACCTGAGAAAAGGTGCCCCCGCAGGACAGAAAGCCGCCTTGAGATTCAAGTCTAGACACAAAGGAAAAAGGGAAGTCTGCTCAATCCTTGCAGGAGCACTTGACCCTCGCTGACAGCCTAAAATAGTCCCCACTGACATCTGCTAGCAGAAAAGATAAATAAGAGCCTCAACAGCACCTCGTCATGAAGATCTAGGCTTACACGTGGGCTCCGCATAAGGTCTCTGAGTGAGGGGGGAAGCTAGGAGGCCCAGCTGCCCGAACTGGGTGCTGGTGCTTTGTTTGCAACTGTGACTGAGCGACAAGCTTACGTGTGAGAACAAAGGCGCTCTCACTCTGAAGTCGACGTGTGCGTCACCTCAGAGGCTGGGGACCTGGGCCCACGGGGGTGGCCTGGGAGCAAAGGTCAATCATGAGCCCACTGCACGATGAGTTTGCTTTTCCTTTTAAAATGTTTTATTATAGGTCTTTATAGAGCCACATCCAGACTCCAGATCCAGCTGCCAAGCAGACCCCGTCAAGACCAGCTGGAGCAGCAGTGCCGCAGCAGCAGAATCAAGGCAAGCAACAGGGTGATGGGAAAGCACTATTTCCTCCCCTCCAAGTGACTTGTGAAAGAGGACTGTCTCGGTCATCTTAGGGAATCCTCCGGGTTCTTGGAAAATTCAAGGGGAAGCGTATAGAGAGGCAAGTCCTCAAGGGAAAACACAGGATTTGCCGCTGAACTAAATATATCAAGACGCAAAGAACTAGTCAGAAATATCACAACTGTGACACTGTTCATACCCCATACCGAGAGGTCACACTTGGAATGAAATGGCTAATGGCAAGCTTTCTAAGGATCAAGGTCTACATGTCCTGAGATAAAGCACCCCAAACCCACAGCCAAGAGAAACTAACTGGCCTTTGCTTGGCTTTCAGCTCTTGAGGGGGAACATTTCACCACCATTCTCCAAACTGCCTACAACAAACTGGAACTCTCACTGGTCACGTAACAAGGAACAGTTAAAATTATATTTGGCTGTAGTTTAGTGAGAACTGGCATTTTAATGTGAACACTTACATATTAAAACCACTAACAGCAGCATATTCTTCTGCGGTCCATCCAAAAACATCTTGAGAAAAGATGTCAACACCTTGCTGAAGAAGAAGTCTGGCTATTTCTGGTGATTCATGCTTGATAGCAAGCATGAGGGCTGTTCTAAAACAACAGAGAGATGACTTCAGCCTCAGGAAGTTGAGTTAATTTACTTAAACAGTGAATTTGATATGCTTCACCAAGTGAACACCTTGCCCTTCCACGAAGAATTGACCATTTACAGGCTCAAGGGTTCATCTTTGTAAATCACCTCCAAGGCTAAAATGAAGGGACAGAAAAGAAGTCTCCTGTCCCATTGGGATGCCAGGTAGCAGCACTTACTGTTTCAAAAGTCCCTGATGGGGACTTCCCTGTTGGGCCAGGGGAAAGACTCCAGGCTCCCAATGCAGGGGGCCCAGGTTCCATCCCTGGTCAGGGAACTTGATCCCATATGCTGCAACTAAGAGTTCCCACAACTAGGACCCCACGCAGCCAAAGAAAGAAAGAAAGAAACAAACAAACAAACAAATGTATTTTTAGAATAATAATAAAGTCCTTAGTGGACAAGAAACGATGCTGAGGTCACTTATCTGAGGCAGGTGACTATTTAAGGGATGAATTCCCCATTTTCTCCTTAGTCTGATATATTTGGCTTCAAAGTCAGCTGGAGGTTGGATTAAGAAAAGGTTACTTGCAGGCTTAAATCAAAAATATTGATAATAATGGGAGTAAAAATAGTCATGGTGGTAGTTAATGATGTGGACAAGCATGTGCTAGGCACTAAAAATGAAATCCTATATATAAAACCTTTCTCACACACAGGCACCTTTGAAAGATGCACTACTATTTGTCTTGCGTATCAGGAAACTTATTTGCTGATGATAAATAACCCTAATCAGTAGGAAACCTAGGAATTGGACCTAGTCTGAATCTAAAGCCCATCATTTTCATCTGTATCATCCACCTCTGACTTGGCTTTGTTAAAGGAACTGTTTATCCAATCAAATCTATCTTTCTTCCTTCTACCTGCATTAAAAATGAAAATATCAAAATGTACTAAACTGAGAAAGGATAAAAATTCATGAGCCCACAGGATCTGGTGACAGTGAGTAAAAATCACCTTTTTGTGGCTGTTGTTATTTAGTTGCTATGTTGTGTCTGACTCTTTTGCAACCTAATAACATCAGCTTTCTTCAAAGAAAGTAATTTAAAGCAATGAGTTATCCAAAAGACGAAATCGAGTCTTTTAGGTTTACTGTCCACCTTTTAAAAGTATATACATACAAACTAGAGGTTAAAGAATTCTTTTAAAAGAATTAAGAAACTCGATACTGTCATGAGATAAACTAAAAAGCAGAATCCATAGTTCATGAAACCAATAAAACTAATTTGAAATCCCTCAGCTATTCCAAGATCGACAAAACAAAGAAAAAACAGGTTGCATATGACATCAGTCAATATTATAAAGGAATATGAATCCTGCTATATATTCCTGCTATATATTGTTCATGATTCCCAGTCAGAATAATTGATTTTCTACCTTTGTGATGATGTGTTGATTACAAATGAATCCTCTTATTCATTTAATCTTGATATTACCATCCTAGAACCGCACTGAGGGTTTTAAAAAGAAAAAGAACAATGGTACCTTTTCATCTTGTCAACCGCACGTACACTAGCTTCTTTGTCTACTAAAAACTCCACCATTTCTCCTCTCCTTTCACGTACAGCAAGTAACACTGGTGTGAGGCCATCCTGTAACACAGGGAAAACCACTTCTAATGTACACAGTTAACCTATTTCTAAGCTGACATTAAAATTGTGCAATAGATTCTCGGAACTTAAAAATACAATGCAGAAAGTAAATCCTCATTGCCCTGGGCACCTTCTTTCTCTTTTAACATGCTCCTCCTCTGGGCCTTCCCTGGTGGTCCAGTGGCTAAGAGTCAAGCTCCCAATGCAGGGGGTGCCGGTATCATTTAGCTACTGTATCAACTGCGTATTTTAGGAACAATGCTGAGGCAGAAATATATAATACTATCTGTAGCATGCATAACCCATCCAAGGATGACCATGAGTAAACTCAAAAGGTTTTCAGACTTGCCAATGGGAATACTATTCTCTACATGAACATGCAAAGAGAGAAACTTTTTTTTTTTTTTTCCAAAAATCAACTGTGGGAACCCTGTTTTACTGCTTTCTCAGAAATGTCACCTGGAATTTAATCTTGCTCTTTCTCTCTTCCTTGCTTACTCTTTCCACTGCCCTTCCTTAAGTCAGACCTTCTGGCTGACAGGTCAGCATTAGCTAGATGCTAACTCCATGCAGAATGAGCGGCCTCCCCACCTTATCTTCAAAGACCCTTCTTGATGACTCTCATGTGATTACCTCCAGACGACCAGGAGGAAGCTTCCAAAATCCCAGAGTTCTGGTGTCTCTCTCGCTTTCCTGCTCTTAATTGAAGATTGCAACATAAAATTACCAATAAATACACGCCCAGCATTTTCTGCAGGAGCTGCTCCTCCACGAACTCTCCCTGCGCTGTCTCTTGTAATATTGTGTGTTTGTGAGAGTCATTCAGTGCGAAACCACCACAATGAACTTAAAAATTCTAATTTGAAAATTTCAATCCCGTTAATAGATTTTTTAAAAATATGAAATCAATTATAGATTAGACTGTCTTTAAAACCTTCAAATATTTATCAAAATAAACTATCAATCAAAAATTGGAAACTCAAATGCTTATGGACGGAAAGCTGATGACCTGAGTAAGTGAAAAAGGCAGGGGAGACCGGTAACCCCCAAACACACGTCCCATACAGAAGGGGTGGCCTCTGCACGCAGACCAGACAGTAGGATGGGCTCCAGGGGGCCCAGATCTGGTCCTTGGAGAAGCCTGAACTTCTGCATGAGCCTCGTCAATTTGAAATCTTGACCCAATGTGTGGAGGTAAACTAAACATACCCAAGGGCCATGTGTGGTCTATTGCCCACTTTTGGTTTTATGTTTGCTGTTTCCAAACAGGTGGGTATAAAGCAAATATTTGTTTGTGAAACCTTTCCTTTCTTTACTATCATATGTTTCACAAAACAGTGGGTCCCAATATGTAGTAAATAAGCCTATTGAGACTCATAATTCAATTAAACATAAATTCTTTTAAAAAGACTCATACATCACAGTCAAGAATGCTTCCACTGCCTGTTGAAACTACAAGCTATCTCTAGAATTCTTCTAGATTGTTATCCAAACGTATAAGGAGTTCCTAAGCCCGCTGAAAATAAATGCTTAAAACAATTCCCCTCTCTACTGTTACTAACTTTACGGGTTTTAAAGCTCTCCTCTGCTTATGCCAGGGATCAGCAATTCTAACAGACACACTGCAAGAGTCTGTCCTGCAGCTGACACCAAAAAAGGCTCACTGAGTTACTATTACTGCACTCAGGAAAACCCTGTTGGTAACAAACATCTGTTGACCTAATGACCTGGATGATAAGAGAAGGTGTAAAATCCTTCAAGGGTCAGACTCGACAGATGAAGTGACTTTGTCATGAGCAAATCTCTAAAGACTCTCGGAATGTCACTGAATGATGAGTGGTTGGAAGGAAAAGGAGTTATCGTTCCAGCCCATAGACATTGCCAAAGGTACTCCTTTTCATGTCTCAAACACAGGGGCAGAGAAAAAGTCAGCCTAATGTTGTTGGAAAGGAGGGAGCTGATGGAAGTAGCTAGCACTGATCAAACTCCAACGCTTCTAGAGACTACTTTCTTTTGTGAAGGGTGCATTTAGAAATTACATGTGTTGACTCCATAGTCATTCATCAAGGACTGGATCAGAATCTGAAGGGCATAGTTCTAAACACACACGTCCAAGTGTTCCTCGATTTACTCAGTCAAAATCTTCAGGGAACAGCCTAGGCTTGCACATTTTTTAAACAAGTTTTCCCAAGTAACTGTGGCTCACCAGCAGAATACAGCTGAGACTTAGTGCAGCAACCACGCCAGTCTCATCTCTTACTCACAGAGCCAACTGCTTCTCTTACGTGAGGGTGTGAATAAAAAAGAGAAGTGTAAGAGGTAAGAGTCATCAAAACGCCAACGGTTTAGATTTCCCTGGGTAAACAGCAGTAGCACAGGGACTAGCAAACCCAAAAGGCAACTTGATCTCATTATTTATAAACCCCTTCCTTCCCATCAAGACATTCTAGACGGGAGAGCAGAGTCTAGACTCTTATCTAAGTGGATGGTTCTGGTTCTGCCAGAATAGGATACTATACCAGTTAATTATTTGTTCTTCTCTCTTAATTCCCACTTAATTGCCACCTGTTCACTGCCAGTCTGCTTTGCTCAGAGTCTTCTTAAAACTGGCACCTAGGCAAGTTTACAATTCACTCACAGTCTTTCTCGAAATAACAATTATTATCCCTGAAAACTGAAAAGCACCTCACAGAAATATATAAACTGACAGGAATAAAAAGCACAAAGCAAAATCTCGGGACTTCCGTGGTTGTCCCGTGGCTGGGTCTCAGTGCTCCCAGGAAAGGGGGCCTGGGTTCGACCCCTGGTGGGGGCACTAGATCCTACATGCTGAAACGAAGCCCAGCACAGACAAATACATAAATATTAAAATAAATAAATCCTCTTCTTGGCATTTCCCAACTGCCAAAATTCTGGCCTGACTTGCACTTTTCACTTGCTCGCTCCTTTTCCTTTCCTTCGCCCTCTTAAGATTTGGGCAGTGACAGAGAAACCGTGCTTATATAAATCATTTTTCATAAAATGGGAATCTGTCAACAGCAGCAAGATTTCTATTGTGTTGTGAAATGATTTCGTTATGTTTGCATTTTAAGACAAAAGTCTACTGAGGCAAATTTTGCTTTACTGTGTTATTTTAGACTGATTCAAAAAAAAATAAAAACTTAAGTGGGGGAAAATATTTGGAAAATGTTTTACCTTTAACAAGTACAGTGTTAGCATAAATCCCGGCCATAAACACATAAAGGAACGCTTTACTCTCTAATGCTTGAGAAATATCATGATTTAAAGTGAAATCTTAGACAACTTGGTTCCTTCAAAATACTTTCACTCAGGGAAGACTGGAGCTCCCAAACATGGAAAACTGAGCCCACCTGTGAGAGTGGGGGAAGGTCCTGGCGGGGCTGCGGAGGCCGGACTTCACATGCTTCCTGAAGAAAGAGCAGGAGGGGCAGCTCCCCAGGCACAGCTGCGACCCCGCCGCGCAGCTCCCCGGGGCTGAGCGTGGAGGACCCCGAGGTGTAACTGGTGAACCAAGGGGTCACCAGCGCAAGTGAACACCCTTGCTGGGTGTCAAACATGACCTGACCTGCCTAGCCGGATCTCAGAACCAGGGGTCCTGGAGAGTGCAGGGCTCCAGGACTGCTGCCTCCCAGGCCCACTGGCACTCACTCGGCTCCATGATGGGCACTGGGTCTCCTTCCTCTTCTGCCCACCCCCAGCAGCACACATTCCCTGAGCCCCTGTCAACAGCCAGTCCCCACATCACTTCCCTCCCCGCAGGCCTTCATTTCCTGTGGGCTCGGAGCCTACCACCCACTCCCACGCACGTTCTAATGGGAAAACCTTCCTTCTGGGGTAGACGGGTGGCTGGCAGGCAGAGCTCTGTCTTTTCTGGGGTCACCGACTTTTCTCACCCCCGCTCCCTGACTCAGGTCTAGAATTGTTTCCATGGTAACAGGGCCTCATGGGCACTATTCAGTTTACCTAGTTACATACTGTTGTAAATAAAACACTTGTAGATTAAAAAAAAACGCTTCACAAACATTTGGTCAATAAAGTTAGCTGACCAATACCTTGTTCCTGGCTTCTATATGGGCGTTGTAGGAAAGCAGCTTTGCTGCGAGTGATAAATTCTGGCCAAAGACAGCGTAGTGGAGCGCGGTGTTGCCACAGGCGTCCCTGACATTTGGGTCGGCACGGTGCTCCAGCAGGAGAGTTGCGCACTCCTCCTCTTGGCATTCTACGGCCTGTCAGCGTTGTGCCAAGAAACAAGAGTGTGAGCACTAGGAATTCACAGTAAATAGTCCACAAGTTTCACCAGTTCCCTCTATTTCAGTGAGATCAATTCATTGTTAGTCTCAGTAGTTAAATCCCATCCATCTCATGTGGACATGGTTCGCTGCCCCATACCTTCATCAGCGCGGTCTTGTTTTCACTGTCACAGAGGTTAAGCAGGCATTTTCTCTCCAGGAGGAGAGCTACCACCGCTGAGTGGCCATTGGCACAGGCCAAGTGGAGCGCAGTCCTACAAAAGCAGGAGCAGTTTTTAGGAAACTGTAGTGTCACTGTTTTAAAACAAACAACTGTTCATGCAACTGAAAACACTCAACAGCATGGTACTCCTATCCCTCTAAAACAAATATTTTGTTTTCTTCTGGAGAAAGAGCAGCATTTATTAGCTTCAGCACCTCTTACACAGTAAGGAAAGAACAATATACTTGAATAGAATGCGCAAGACCTCGAGATTCAGCTCAACTTGGGTTTGAATTTGACTTTCACTGTCACTTATTAGCTGTCACTCAGTCTCTCTGTGCCTCAAGTTCCTCCTCAACAACATGGAGAGAGAGTAGCAGTTATCTCACAGGACGCCGCTGCGATGCTTAAATGAGGTCCATGCACAGATAACAGCTGGTAGTTGTTAGATTCGAATATCAAAGTTACTACTATTGCTACTGTCTTACAAAGACAACGTCTGAATGAAGTCAAAGGATATTACAACTCCTTTGCAGATATGTTTTGAGGATTAGAGACAACATTGTACTTCGATGATTCTAATATGCTTATTTTCTCACATGTTAACGTCTCTGACATTGGAATATAATTTATAATTCACAGGCTTTACAACTGTAAATTGTAGCATTTTTGTTGGTTCATTTCTCATTTTTCCTGTTGGTCTAATTACCATGAGGTGTTTTCGTCTAAGTTTCTTTAGAGATGATGTCTGTTATATATTATTCTATAGTACAGGTGCACAACACAGTGATCCACAACTGTTAACGGTCACACTGCATTTAAAGTGACTATAAAATATTAGCTATATTCCCCATGTTGGACAATATATCCTTGGAGCTTGCAGGATTTTAGTTCCCTCACCAGAGATCGAACCCTGGGCCCAGAGCAGTGAGTCTCAACCACTGGATGGCCAGGAAATTCCCAAGATTCCCTTGACTTCGGAAAAGGCTGCAAGTTGCCACAGGATACCAATCCTCACAAATAAGTTGAAAGTGACAAATTATTTTCATCTGTGCCACATTCCTATGAGCGCCAGAAAGATAAACCCTGCCTGCTCATCCGGCTTCCCTACAGCTTGATCTACAGAGAGTTTTAAATTTGGGGGGTTGCTAAATCAACTTTCAGATTTTTTTCTTTTTGGGGGGGTGTGGAAACCCAGGAAACTCCAGAGTGTTTGCCTTTGAAATCATTCTTAGAAAAGTCTCTGGGGTGGGATATGTGTATACTTACAACTGATTTATGATGTTCTACAGCAGAAACCAAGACAACACTGTAAAGCAATTACCATCTAATTAAAAAGATATTAAGGTTAGTAACCAGTAGAACAAGAAGAAAAAGGTCATTGTCAGTACACAAAAAATATACCAATAGGAATTTCAGTTTTCTCCTGGTACTTTTCTCACCCTGTGTATTTCAAATGTTTGATCCATACTCCATCTGAAACTTTTTGGTGAGATAAAAATCTAGTTACTTTTCTCTTAATAGTTACCAGGTTATTTCTCTACCATCTACACATAATTTATCTTCACTAATAGAAAACGTCATCTAGCAAATTTTGATAATCTAAAAGGGCAAATCTTTGCCTACTATACAAAACTTCCAATTTCATCACAATTAAAGACAGCATGTGTTAACGCAAAATCTTTAAAACCACGATATGTTTATTTGGTTTAAATGTGGAAAGACCATATATCCTAAGAAAATGTCTTCCCATTCAAGAACACATTCAGCTTCCTACTTCAAAGCTGTCTTCTAAGGTCCTTCAGCAAGGAATATATACACATAAGTGTACAGTGATATAAAATGGATACTGCATTGAATCTGAAGAATTTTTAACCCAGAAGCTGACCTGTCATGGGGATTATTTTTCTCACTATGCAGTCTTCTGGAATATATAACAGTATGGTATAAAAATGTTAAAAATAAGATGCCGACAACCTCAAAAGTCTGCCCACTGCCAATATCCACCCACAATGGACGAGCCATGGGAAGAAGAGTTTTCATAAATCACATGAGAAAAACAATGTGAAAGCCAGGGAGTTCCAGAAGATTTCTTGAGGGCTATAGAACCTGAGAGCTCTTACTCATGAGTACACCATGTTAACGCATGCATAACAACAAATGAAAAGGAGGAGGAAGAAGAGGGAAAAAAGATGCTATTCATGTTTTTGTTTTCTTTTTTACATTCGTGATGTGCTTAACACAGTACCTGACACAGACTAAGATTTTAAGAAGCTAATTCATTGAGCGTGGTGGTGCTTTAGTCACTAAGTCGTGTCCGACTCTTGCAACCTCATGGACTGTAACCACCAGACTCCTCTGTTCATGGGATTTCCTAGTCAAGAATACTGGAGTGGATTGCAATTCCCTTCTCCAGGGGATCTTTCCGACCCAGGAATTGAACCCATGTCTCCTACCTTGCAGGTGAATTCTTTACCGACGGAGCTACAAGGGATAGGATCACTCTGGAATTCTATTAATAGTAAGCTAAAGAAAATAAGAGTAGAAAGCCTCTTCATCAGAAGAGGCAGGATGGTGTAGGGGTTCAAGACATGGGCTTTGGACCTATGGGCTTACATCCCAGTCCTACCACTTCAGCCTTTCAGCCTTGAACAGACGACCTGAACTTTCAAACCCTGTTTCGCCATCGTTGAAATGGGGCAATGGTCTCCATCTCTGAGGCTGCTGAGGACTCACCCTTGTGTCATTTGCCCGGGGCCTGGTACCTAGCCTCCTTGAACGTGAGTGGCTTCACTGCCATGGAGACAGAGCAGTAGCACTGACTGCACCCTACTGGATGCCAAGCACACAGTGGGTCTCGTTTCATAGCAGCCAAGCTGAGGCTGAGGGGTAGCAGGCACAGGGTAACACGGATAGAGGTCACTGCCTACAGGACAGCGTATGGGCTCTGAGGCGACACCCCCGAGGCCGAGGCCCCATCACTGAACTGGCTGTGTAGAATCAGGCAGTCCCTTCCCTTCTCCGGACCTCTGTGTCCTACCCCGTCACTGCCCAAGCTGTGTGGAGTATGAAATGAGACACCACACATAAAACACTTGGCCCAGGGCCTAAGGATGGTGGTGATGGTCATGCTTTTCCCTGCTGCCCTTACCACAGCTCTTCCTACCCCTTCTCACCATGTTCTGCCCAGCGCTTTAGTCCTGGGGCCGCTGCTGTGGAGCATCTGGGCCAATTTGCTTTCCCTTCTCCAAGTCCTGGGCTCAGTTCTGGGCTCAATGCCAGTCTGTACCAGCCTCAAGACACTGCCCATTGCAGCATTCCCTCACATCTCTGTTGCTTCAGGTCTCAGTTCACAATCAGAGATTCCTGCCATACACCCATGTTACCCACTTTACAGTAGGGAAATGGGCCCAGAGAGGGCACAGTTCTCCCTTGGAGACACACAGCAGAGTGCATTCCTGGATGGGTTGTGAAACTGAGGTCTTTCACTGTCTCTTCTGGGAAGCCTGGATGTGGATCCCACAGTGCACTGCTGGGCCAGGGCCAGGTCAGCACCATTTACAGTAAATACCAGGCATACCACGTCTGCCAGTCCACCCCCCATTAGCCACGCACTGCCGCTCTTCACTAGATTCCCTCTCCAATGGGCGTTATGCAGGGCTTGGGGGTCACAGAGTACACAACAGGACAGTCACACATTATCAAGCCTTCAAGGAGGCCAGGCCCACCCCCGCCCCTTCACACAGCACCCTTTCTCCGGGACCCCATCCTCAATTCCACCCCTCTTCTGCCGTTGTTAAAGCCCCTCCCTATAATTCAAGCCGGTCCGTAGACTACGGGTCCCTTCCGCGCCTCCACGGATACACTCTAGCCACACCCCTTTCCTCTCCGTGGCCGCTCCTCTCCGGGGCGGCGCTCCAACCCCTAACCCCGCCTCCGGACTGACCACGCCCCCTTGACAGACAGCCCCGCCCTCACCATCAGGCCCGCCTCTCAGTTGCAACTCTGGTTCCCTCTGGCCTCCCCATCCCGTCCCTCCTCTCTGATACCGCCCCTCGCCCCGCCTCTCCCGACTGCGGCCTTCGGGGCTCCCCCAGGCCAGTCAACCGGGAGACCCACTGAACTCTTCCGTGGGTCTCAGCGAGCCGCCCTCGCGTTACTTGAAGGGGAGATGCCGGCGAGGGTGGGCCCACACGACCAGCTTGAGCCCCGCCTGGGAGCCTGTGCCTGCTAGTCATGTTTTATTCAAGTTCTGTGATTACTGACACTCAGTTAAATAACTTTAAAACGGCCAGTAAAGTGCTCTATAAGGGGAATTATAAGCGGGTCCGAAACCAGCTAAGGCTTCTGCAGCCTATCAAGTCTGCGGGGTGCTGGATCCCAAGAAGGTGTCCAAGAGCCTTGGAGGGGAGACTCACAGGAGGGACCCCTGCCAGGCCCTTCCTCCCTGCTTACCTGTTCATCTTGTCCTTGTCATTCAGGCCACTCTTCCCGAGCAACAGGACCTGCTGCACTTTAGCTACGTTGCCTACGCTGGCAGCTTTGTGGATCTTTCTGAGGTCCTTGTCTCGGATGCGGTACCCGGGCTGAAAGCTGATTCTGTGACTGCCGTCTCTCCCCGGGCTGATGGAGGAGCCGAAGGGCGAGATGCCCTTCTTACTCCTGAAGCCAAAGGTCTTCTCCATCACAGAGCCTACAGACTCCAAACACACACCTCACCTCCCCCTCGGCTCTTCACAGGCCCCTAAGCCCAACAGGAGCACTAGAGGTAAGCCAGAGCCGTCCCGCCACAACCCCCGAGCTGGGAAGCTCAACGGTTTAGAATCTTGCATCCCAGAATGATCATCAGTAAGCAACGACCGTTGCTAAGCAACATGTTGCTAAGCAACGTGTTCCCCTCTAAACACATTGCCCCTGTGCCAGAGTGCCCAGGGTGCATGTGCAAGAACTGGAAGTGCATTTTTTGAAAGAAACAAATAATATCAATAAAGCCTACCTAAGGTAAGAAGAAATGAGAGGAAACTGAAATAAACACAGAAAGGAAAGCGACAT